AAAAAAAAAAAAAAAAAAAAAAAAAAAAAAAAAAGAAAAAGAAAAAGAAGAAGAAAAAACTCTGTGGAGGTAGCTAACTGGTAGAGTGCTGGCTTTGCTTGTGTGAGGCCCAGTGGTCAGTATCCCTAGTACTGAAACAATATAAACACAACATTTTCCCATATCCTGCCAAAGATTACTTTCAGGAGCTGGGGATGTATCTCAGTGGTAGACTATTTCTCATGTGCAAGGCCCTGGGTTCAGTACCCTACACCACACACACACAAAATGCTATTAGTATTTTGGGGGGGTCTCATTTAAATTCTCAAAATATAAAAATATAAACAGAGCTGGGATGTATGTGGCTCAGTGGTTAAGTACCCCTGGGTTCAATCTCTAGTACATGCCCCCCGAAAAAAGTTAAATCTGGAGGTTGAAAGTAGTATTTGTAATTTGGTTTTTCTCAGAACACATTACCATTACCACCATCACAGTTATTACTACTGCTATTTCTACTACATTACTAATGGCATTTATCTGATATTTATTGAGTGCTTATTATGAATTGGGCATCCACAAAAAAAATTACATGTATTAGGCTATTTCATTTCTTTTCCCTTTTTTTTTTTTTTTTTAATTTTGTACTTGGGATTGAACTCAGGGGCACTTGACCACTGAGCCACAACCCTAGCCCTTTTTTGTATTTTATTTAGAGACAGGGTCTCACTGAGTTGCTTAGCATCTCGCTTTTGCCGAGTCTGGCTTTGAACTTGTGATCCTCCTGCCTCAGCATCCTTCACCTGGCTTCTTTTTTTTTCTTTATTTTATGGTGCTGGGGATTTTATGCAGGGGCACTGTTTCTCAGAGCTAAATCCCCAGTTCTTTTTATTTTATTTTTGAGACTGAATCAGTCTCATTCAGTTGCTGAGGCTGACCTGGCTGCTATTTTTCTGCCTTAGCCTTCTGAAATGGTAGGAGTTTGTGGTCATGCGTGGCTTCATTTGATTTCTTTTCACTTTTTTTTTTTTTTGTGTGTGTGTGTACTGGGTATTGAATCCAGTAATGGGGCTTTCTCACTGAACCATAGCCCCAGCCCTTTTTATTTTTTAATTTGAGATGGTCTCATTAAATTGCCAGGGCAAGATTGCAATATCTTGAAGTTGTAATCCTCCTGCCTTAGCCTCTGGGATTACAGGTGTGTGCCACCCTTTCTGGCTAGGCCATTTTATTTTCCCACCACTCAGAACAATTTGAAGACTAGAGGCTGAGGTACTTGCCAAAGATCATATAGCCAGAATGTGGGGTAAAGAAGTAAATCCAGGTCTGTCTGACTTTACTTCCTATGCCTTTTGAATCTTCTTCTTTTATTATTATTATTTTTTTTTGCAGGGATTGAGCCCAGGGACACTTAACCAATAAGTCACACCTCCAACCCTTTCTTAAATTTTGAGACAGGATCTTGCTAAATTGCTTAGTGCCTTGCTAAATTGCTGAGGCTGGCCTTAAACTTGTGATCTTCCAGCCTCAATCTCCCAAGTAGGTGGGATTATTGGCATGAGCCACCGAGCCTGGCTTTCAAGTCTTCCTGGAGACCCCAACACTGGGACCTTGTAATATTGCCTTTGAAAGCAAACTTCTTCTAACTTTACATGCATTTGTCATCTGTGCTCAAGTGGAAAACCCGATTCCTACTTTTTGAAATATGATGTGATACTAGCATAACCTGGAGAAAGCAATGTTCCAAAAATGAGAAATAGCGTCAGGGTCATAGCCTCCTAATTCTGGGATCTGCTTTCAGACCTATATATTTCTCCCACAATGTTGTTTGGGATTTTCACTGCCACTGCCATTCTTCTATTCTTCTTCCATATTGTGGGACTAGGTCAATGAAATTAAAATCATCTATCTCTTAAATGTAACCTAAATCTAAGTGAACTTGGTATGGAAAATAATATGTGTGTAAATAAATAAGTAATAAAAAGTAAAATGAAAGTGTCATGTGATAATGTGTTGAAGAGACTTTCTGGAGTTTAGGGGATAAAGTGAGTATCTCCCATTTATTATTTTAAGAACTTAGAAACTAATGTTTTATGCGTGTTTATAGGTCTGCACCTGTTAACTTCAAATTATTGTTTTCTAATAATTTTTTATTTTTGGTAGTGAGAATTGAACCCAGGGGGCGCTTTTAAACCAACTCCATCCCCAGTCCTTTTTATGTTTTAATTTTGAAAGGTCTCACTGCATTGCTTAGGGCCTTGCTAAACTGCTGAGGTTGGCCTGGAAATTGTGATCTTCCTGCTTTTAATTTTTAATCTTGAGCCAGGGTCTCCCTAAATTGCTGAAGCTGGGCTTGAACTTGTGATCCTCCTGCCTTATCCCCTGAGGCCCTGGGATTACAGTTATGCATTACCATGCCTGGGTAGTATAACATTTTTAGGGGTCATTCATGTTGTAGCATATGTTAGCACTTAATTCTTTTCTTTGTTTATGATCATATGATATTATGGATATGCCACCTCTTCTTTATATATTCATCAATTGGTGGACATTTGGGTTGTTTCCACCTTTTGGTTATTATGAATAATGCTACTATAAGCATTCGTGTGTAGATTTTTATATGGATATGTTCTTATTTCCCTTTAATATGTAGCTTGGAATGAAATTGCTGAATCATGTCATGATTTGTGCTGCTAAAACTCCATACTACAGATTGAGTTATTTATAAAAAATTAGAAATTTATTTTCTTGCAAGTCTGGAGGCTGGGAAGTATAAGATTGAGGCATTGGTATCTGTTAAGGACTTTTTTACCTATCACCCAACTATCTCACTTTTTGATTTTTGATTGTGCGACTATGCCCTGCACCTAGTTCCTTCTTTAAAATTCAAGACAATTAACTGAATTAAATAAAAAATCAATTTATGCATATTTTGATTTTTTGATACTAGCTATCATAGTGGGTGAAGTGGTATATTGTAGTTAAATTTTTTTTTTTTTTAGTTGTCAATGGACAATTTACTCAATTTATTTATATGTGATGCTGAGAAACGAACCCAGTGCCTCATACATGCTAGGCAAGCGCTCTACAACTGAGCCACAACCTCAGCCCCAGTATATTATAGTTTGGATTTGCATTTTCATGGTTAATTGTATTAAGCCTCTTTTTATATGCTTATCTCCGTTTGTATATCTGATTGAAAGAAACATCTATTCAGAACCATTGTCCTCAAACCCCCTCCTCCCCTTTTTTTTTTTGTGCTGAGGGTTGAATCCAGGGACATGCTTGGTGTGTACTCTACTATTAGGGTACATATCAGTAGCCCAGTGTTTTTTTAATTTGTTCTTCTTAGTTATACATGACAGTAGAATGTATTTTGACATATCATACATACATGGAGTATAACTTTCCATTCTTGTGGTTGTATGAGATGTGGAGTTATGATGGTTGTATATTTACATATGAATATAGGCAAGTTATGTCTGTTTCATTCTACTGTTCCTATTCCCATCTCTTCTCCCTTCCCTGCATGCCCCCTCTGTTTAATCTGGCGGACCTCTCCTCCTCCTTCCTTCCTTGGCCTGTTGTAAGTCAGAAGCCTGTATATTAGAGAGAACATTTGGCCTTTGATCTTTTGGGATTGGCTTATTTCATTTAGCATGATAGCCACCATTTCCATCCATTTACTGGCAAATGATATAATTCCATTCTTCTTTATGGCTGAGTAATATTCCATTGTGTATATGTACCACATTTTCTTTACCCATTCAACTATTGAAAGGCACTTAGGCACTTAGGTTGGTTCTATAGCTTAACTATTGTGAATTCAGGTGCTATGAACATCAATGTGGCTGCATCACTCTAGCATGCTTATTTATAAGTCCTCTGGGTATATGCCGAGGAGTGGGGTAATTGGGTTGAAAGGTGGTTCCATTCCAAGTTTTCTGAGAAATTTCCATGCTGTTTTCCAGAGTGGTTGCACCAATTTGCAGTCCTACCAGCAATGTATGAGTGTATCTTTTCCCCACATCCTCACCAACATTTTTGTTGCTTGTATTCTTGATAATTGCCATTCTGACTGGAGTGAGGTGAAATCTCAGTGTAGTTTTGATTTACATTTCTTTAATTGCTAGTGATGTTGAACATTTTTTCCATATATTTGTTGATTATTGTATTTCTTCTTCAGTGAAGTGTCTGTTCAGTTTCTTAGCCCATTTATTGTTTGGGTTATTTGTTTTTTTGGTGTTAAGTTTTTTGAGTTCTTTATATATATTGGAGATTAATGCTATATCTGAGGTGTAAGTGGCAAAGACTTTCTCCCATTCTTTAGGTTCTCTCTCCATATTTTTGATTGTTTCCTTTGCTCTGAAGAAGCTTTTTAGTTTGATTTCATCCCATTTATTGATTCTTGATTTTTATTTCTTGCATTTTAGGGGTCTTTTTAAGGAAGTCAGTTCCTAAGCCAACATGGTGGACATTTGGGCCTACTTTTTCTTCTCTGAGGTGTAGGGTCTCTGGTCTAATGCCTAGGTCCTTGATCCACTTAGAGTTGACTTTTGTGTACAGTGAGAGATAGGGATCTAATTTCATTTTATTACATATGGATTTCCAGTTTTCCCAGCACTATCTGTCTCTTCAATAAATATTTTCTCCAGTGCATGTCTAGTATGAGATAACTATATTTATGTGGGTTTGTCTCTCTGTCTTTTATTCTGTACCACTGGTCTTTGTTTCTGTTTTGGTGCCAATACCATGCTGTTTTTGTTACTATAGCTTTGTAATATAATTTAAGGTGTGGGTATTGTGTTGCTTCCTGCTTCTCTTTTCTTGCTAAGGACTGCTTTGGCTATTCTGGGCCTCTTGTTTTTCCAAATGAATTTCATGACTGCTTTTTCTGTTTCTATGAAGAATGTCATCCAAACCTTAATAGGAATTTCATTAAATCTGTATAACATTTTTGGGCATTATGGGCATTTTGACAATATTAATTCTGCCTATCCAAGAATATTGAGAGATCTTTACATCTTCTATGTTCTTCAGCTGCCCACTTTTAATTATATTTTTGTCTTTTGTTATTGAGTTGTATGAGTTCTTTGTAGGTTACAAATGCAGCTTCAGTTGTCTGATATATGATTTGCAAACATTTTCACCATTCTGTGGGTGTCTTTTTTATCTTGTTGATGGGTCCTTTGAAATACAAAAGTTTTAAATTTTGATGAAGTCTACTTTTTCTTTTGTTGTTCATGCTTTCATGAATCTGTTAAATCTGTCATGAAAATTTACTTAACCATTCTTCTAAGAGTACTTTTTTGTTTGTTTGTTTGTTTGGTACCTGGGATTGAACTCAGGGGCACTCAATCACTAAGCCACATACCAGGCCTGTTTTGTATTTTATTTAGAGACAGGGTCTTATTGAGTTGCTTAGTGCCTCACTTTTGCTGAGGCTGGCTTTGAACTTGTGATCTTCCTGCCTCAGCCTCCTGGGCTGCTGTGATTATAGGCATGGACTACCACGCCCAATTATTAATACTTTTTAAAAAGAGATTTTTACTCAGAGGATGTAGCTCACTGGTAGAGTGCTTGCCTAGAACAGGCAAGGACCTGGGTGTAATTCCCAATATTGAACAACAACAACAACAAAAATATGTTTGGTTTAAACTACACATTAGCTTACATTTAGGCCTTTGATCTAGTTTGAGTTCCTTTTTTGTGTATTTGAGATAGAAACAGGGAGACAAGGAATGGGTCTTATTTCAAATACTAGAGACTATTGTTGTTCCTACTGAGTTTCAGTAGATTTTTTTTTTTTTTTAATCTTTTTCAGTGCTAGGAATATAACCCAGGGCTTCACACACACTAGAAAAATGCTCTACCACTAAGTTATATCCCTAGACATAGACCTTTATTTTCTTTGAATAATGTTTTTTTGATATATGCTTTAAAAAATATATATAGTTGTTGTTTTAGTTGGATACAATACCTTTATTTTATTTATTTTTATGTGGTGCTGAGGGTCGAACCCAGCGCCTTGCACATGCTAGGTGAGCATGCTACTGCTGAACCACAACCCAGCCCCTGACATATGCTTTTATGTCTTATTTCCAGAGACTTGAAATGGTTTCTTTCCCTTTTGGTAATGAGGTTTGAACCCAGGGGCTTTATAACTAATCTATATCCCAAGTACTTTTTATTTATTTATTTATGGTTTTGGTATTGGGGTTTGAACCCAGGAATGCTGTCCTTTTGATTTTTTACTTTGAGACGGGCTATCACTAAGTTGCTGAGACTCTTGCTAAATTAATGAGGCTAGCCTTGAACTTGTGATCCTCCTGCTTCAGCTTCCTAAGTGGATTACTGATAAACCTGGTTAAATGGTTAAAATAATTTTCACGGACATTTGGTTTATGGAGTTTATCATATGCCATGCCAAAAATGGAACCTGCCAGGTGATGTGATCAAAGGCCTGAAATCGTAGGGACTCAGGTGGCTGAAGGAAGATTACAAATTCAAGTCTGGCCTGGGCAATTAATTGATTCTGTCTCAAAATAAAAAATAAACAGGGCTAGGAATGTAGTTTAGTGTGACAGCTCCCCTGAGTTCAATCCCCAGTACAGAAAAAAAAAAAAAAAAAAAAAAGGAAAAAATCCCTGATTTTGTGTTTACTTTTTTAGGAACACAGCTACTGTTTGTAAAGAAAGTTTTTTGCAGGTATATTTTCTTTGAAACAAAGGATTAAGTCTTGTGGATAAACAGGGATATTCAGCAACCTTAAATCATACATATTTGCTATAAGATCTCTTTCTCTCTCTTTTTTTTCCCTAGTGCTGGGGATTAAATTCAGGTCCTTATGCCTGCTAAGCAAGTACTCTACCATTGAGCAGCATCTCTTGCCCTTTATTTTATTTTATTTTTTGGTAGCAGAGATTGAACACAGAGGTGCTTAACCACTGAGTTATGTTCCCCATCTCTTTTTATTTTTCATTTTGAGGGATCATACTGGGTTGCTTAATCTCACTAAATTGCTGAAGTTGTCTACTATCCTCTTGCCTCAGCCTCGTAGGTCCCTCAGATTATAGGCATGTATACCATGCCTGGCTCCAGCCCTTTTTGAGGCAGGGTCTTGCTAAGTTACTTAGGCTGGCTTTGAATTTGCTATTTTCCTTCTTTAGCCTCTCAAGTTACTGGAATTACAAGTGTGCACCATTATGCTGGACTAGATTTTGAATCTTGATCATGCAAAGCACTTTTTTTTTTTTCTTTGTACAGTTCTTTTCTAGATTATAGAATTAGTTCAACCTGAGTGAAACATTTCTCAGCCCAGTTTACTAGTGGCATTGTAAAATACCTAATTAATGTGGATTACATTCACTTGGATTTGTAGTTTCTTGTAAGTGTACCAAATACAAAAAATCAAAGTTAAATACATAAATGTTAATCTCAAAGGTATCCAAATTTAATTTGTTATGCTTTAAGTGATGATTAATTCATAGTGTGAAATAGATTTTTATTATAAACAAATGCTTTCTTTTTAGAGTGAAAGAAAATGTCTTTATTTAAAGCCCGTGATTGGTGGTCTACTGTTCTGGGGGAAAAAGAAGAATTTGATCAAGGCTGTTTGTGTTTGGCTGATGTTGATAATAGTGGAAGTGGACAAGGTAAGTAACTTGTGCCATGCTTCTGTTTTTTTTTGGTGGTGGTGTGGCATTGAACCCGGGGCTTTTCTCACATTCTAGACAAGTGCTCTAGCACTGAGCTATAGCCACAGCCATCATGACTATGCATCTTTAAAATTTTTAAAACTTTAGAGACAGAAAATATAAGTGATCTTCCTTTTAATTTTTTATTATTTATTTCATTTAATTAATTAATTAATTAATTTGGGTACTGGGGATTGAACTCTGGGGCACTCGACCCTGAACCACATCCCCAGCCCCATTTTTTATTTTATTTAGCGACAGGGACTCACTGCTTAGTGCTTTGCTTTTGCTGAGGATGGCTTTGAACTCATGATCCTCCTGCCACAGTCTCCTGAGCTGCTGGGATTACAGGCTTGCACCACTATGCCTGGCTATTTATTTTATTTATTTTTTCTTGTGGTTCTGGTGATCAAAACCCAGGACCTTTTGTATGCTAGGCAAGCATTCTACCGCTGAGCTATACCCTCAAACTTTGACTTGCCTGAGGGTTGAGCCTAGGGACACCCTACCTCAGAGCTACATTCCCAACCCTCTTTACTTTTCATTTCAGACAGGATCTTACTAAGTTGTCAAACTGGCCTTGAGTTTACAATCCTCTTACATAAGCCTCCTGAGTCACTGGATTAGAGAAGCATTTGCTACTGTGCCTAGATTGGATTTGCCCCTTTAGATATATACATTATGGAACACAATTATAATCATTTATGTATGTGTGCATGTGTGGTACTAGAGATGGAACGCAGGGATGCTGAATGACTGACCTTCATTCTGGCTTCATTATCCTTTTATTATTATGTATTCTATCCTATTTTTTTTTGTTTTGTTTTTATAGTTGTAGATGGACAGCATGCCTTCATTTTATTTATTAATTTTTTCATGTGGTGCTAAGGATCAAATCCAGTGCCTCACACATGCTAGGCAAGTGCTCTGCCACTGAGCTACAACCCCAGCCCATATTCTATCCTATTTTTATATTATTTGTTTCTCTTTACATATTCATATGTTTTATTATTTTTTTTTGAATTTTTGGGTACTGGGGATTTAACCCAGGAGCATTTTAACACTGAGCTACATCCCCAGCCCTTTGTTAATGTTTTATTTTGAGATAAGGTCTTACTGAGTTGCTTAGGGCCTGGCTAAGTTGCTGAGACTGGCTTCAAATTAACAGCCCTCTTGCCTCAGCCTCCCGATTTACTGGAATTACAGGCATGTGCCATCATGCCTGGATCTTCATGTGTTTTAAGGGGTCTTTAGAATAGTTTACTTCTGCTGAGCACATTGGCACACACCTGTAATCCCAGTGATTTGGAAGGCTGAGGCAGGAGGATTCCAAATTCAAGGTCAGCCTGGGTAATTTAGCAAGATCCTGACTTAAAAAGGGTTGGGAATGTAGCTCAGTGGTAAAGCACCCAAGTTCAATCCCCATGGTGGGGGGAAAAAACCAAAAACCAACAAAAAACAAACAAAAAGCAACAACAAAATAAAAATTCAACCCAAGTCCCCCTCTCCCCCCCCCAAAATAAAAGAAAATACAGTTTAATTCTGTATTGTATGAACATTTTTTTGGTTTAAATAATTTATAGTAATGAACTTTATTTTGCAATTCAAATACTCTTTGGTCTCTTAGAAAGAAAACTTATAACCATTGTTTTGTTCAGGATATATAAATAATGTCCCCTATATTTTTCTTTCTTTCTTTTTTTTTTCACTGTATAAAATTACTAGGATCTGGGGAAAAAGTGAAAAGGGAGAATTATATTGGCCAAGGAGAGTGAGAGGTTTTAAACTACACTGAGCACATTCTCAATTATTTCTGAGGAAATCTGGGCCTTCCTTTTCTTTAATAGGAGATGGGATGACCTTCTATTCAGAGGATGTCCTTGGGCGGGGGTGGGGGGGTGGGGGTGGACTCTGAAGGATAATCCTGGTTCTGCCCAACTATTAAAGTTTTTGGTTCCCCTATTATTTGACTCCACAGAAGAGTCTTGCCATAAAAATATCTACCAGAGAGAACAATTTCAAACCCACCTCTGTCCAAAGATTTAGATCTCAACTAAGTTGGAAACTATACTTACTGATTTTCTTTCTTTCTTTCTTTTTTTTTTTTTGGTACTGGGGATTTAAGCCAGGGGCACTTTACCATTGAGCTACTTTCCTAGTTCTGTTTTATTTTTTATTTTGAGATAGGGTCTTACTAATTTCCTTAGGATCTGGCTAAGTTCATGAGGCTGGACTTGAACTTGCAAAGTTACATATTGCTCATTTCATGTATTTCTGTTCTTTCCAAGCATTGCTATAGAAAAACTATTGCATGTTTATGTCCTACATAGACAAAAACATTAATCATTATTTCTGAATCCCCAGGGATTGAACCCAGAGGTACTTAACCATTGAGTCATATCCCCAGCTTTTAAAAATTTTTTTAATTTAATTTTTTAAAATTTTCTTTTTAGTTGTAGATGGACACAATATCTTTATTTTTATTTATTTATTTTTATGTGGTGTTGAGGATCAAACCCAGGGCCTCATGCTTGTGAAGCAAGTCCTCTACTACTGAGCTACAACCCCAGCTACCTTTTTTTGTTTTTATTTTTATTTTGAGGCAGGATCTCACTGAGTTGCTTAAGGCCTCGCTAAGTTGCTGAGGCTGGCCTTGAACTCATGATTCTCCTGCCTCAGCCTTCCAAGTTGCTGGAATTACAGGCGTGTGCCACCATGTCCAGCTTCATATATGTATTTCTATTAGAGCTTCTTCTGGAGTACCACCAGTGGGTTACCAGTATGCTGAGATATTGCTTGCCTTCAGTTTATGTCCAGCTATGAGCAGCTTTCTATGTTTTTCCAAGCATTGCTATAGAAAAACTATTGCATGTTTGTGTCTTACATAGACAAAAACATTAATCATTATTTCTCAAAGCCCGGATACCTGTGTTGTAATATCTTGAAGAGATTATTATATGTGAAGATTGCCTATTCCAGACTTACAAGACCCTATAAGACTGTATTCTCTGGAGTTGGGTGAGGTGGTGGGGCTAGGTATTTGAATTTTGAAAAGCTATAAAGTTGAGTGGTGGCACTTTGAAGTTTGAGTGTTATGATTGTTATGGAATAGAAGGTTGATGAGAGCAGTTTTGGATTTGTAGTTATACAGAATAGAGGCAGATTTTTGGAATGAACAGGGTGACAGTTGTATTTAAAGCCCTGAGAATAGGTGAAATTCCACATGGAGAGCAGTTGGAATTAAGATGTGGGAAGTGTAGGACTGTAATTTGGAGAACTCAAGCATTAAATGGGGAGTTGGGAAGAGTAGTCAGTAATTGATTCTGAGGAGGCTGGCAGAGAGTCAGATAAACCAGCTGGGCTAGTACCTAGGAGGGAAGTTTTAATGATAAGAAGCCTGGAAAGTTTCCATTCCATTTAGCAGCAAGTGGTTCATTGGTGTCTGTGATGAGGGTGTCCACAATGATAATGAGATCCAGATTTGCAGTGAGAGTGGAAGGTGGGGAGACTGAGAATTTATGCTTCCTTAAAGAAATTTAGCTGTGAAGGAAAAAAGGATGATGATGATGATATGGGGAAATGTAGGGATAATGGGTAAGATAGAGGCTGTCATTGGTATAGCAGGGATCCTGAGAATGTGGATAGAGATGGTGTCTGATATGTAGATGGAAAGGTTAACCTTGAACAGGCATGAGATCTTTATTCACCATGACAGAATGCAGGAAGGTAAGAGTGAATACAGACGTAGAGAAGTTTGCGTGAATACTGATGAACTCTATAAGATCTATTTGATTTTAGTATTAGGAAGGTTGGTTAATTAAACAGGGGTCTATACTACTACTATGCCAGATTTGGGATAGTTTTCAAATTTCAAAGCCCAAAACACTTACAAGTGCAGATTTTAGTATTAGGAAGTTTGGTTAATTAAACAGGGACCTGTGTTTGATTTTGATATTGTCCTTGTTGAGGAGGTAGTTTTCTATATAGCCATTATAAATCTCTTAAGTGTATGTGTTAGGAAACCAAATAAATGGTGTATCATTTTCTAAGGAAATATGTTTCCTTTAAGCTCTCAGAAATTGAAGGAAAAAAAGCACAGATTGGCCTTGTTCTCACATTGGATGAACTTTGATAAAAAGTTCATGTATCCCTGGGCCTTCTTAATTGGCAACAACAGTTTCTTGATTTAGTACTCAGTAACTCAAAGCCAGTATTCAGCATTTATATATGCTTTTATTTATTTATTTATTTTTTGTGGTGCTGGGGATTGAACCCAGCTCTTCACAAATGTTAGGCAGGTGCTATACTAGTGAGCTATATTTCTAGTATTTCAGTATTCTTGCAGGACTTGGGTATTTCCCTTTTCTGAGTACAGTTGACTAAATGATTACCAATCCTGTAGAGAAGGATCTTAGTCAAATTCACATTAGGTATGTGTGGTGTGATAGAAATGACTTACATATAAACTTGTCATTGTTCATGGAGAGCTGAGTCTGTGAATTAACTTTTATGTGAAAATGGGCAAGAAGCCATGATTGAGGTGTCTTCTTTTTTACTTACTTGAAATACTTATGGTTATAGACTTGAAAAAAAGGTCTTTGTGGATGTGATGAATATATTGTAGTGTTTTGTTACAATTTAATTATTTGTTTTTTAAAAATATTTATTTTTTAGTTGTAGTTGGATACAATATCTTTATTTATTTATTTTTATGCAGTGCTGAGGATCAAACCCAGGGCCTTGCACATGCTAGGCAAGTGCTCTACTGCTGAGCCACAACCGTAGCCCCACAATTTAATTATTTCTTATAAAAAAGGCCTTAATGGCTTTCCATTTAATACCTTCTTGTTTGTTTAATTCCTGTGCAATCCCATATTAGTTAACCATAGCTTGAATCTGTAAGTTAGATTGTTACTTGGGATCTGGTTACTATAACAGTCCTGCTAACTATTATAAAAATCGTACATAGAGCCAGGCACGGTGTTGCACACTGCAATCCCAACAATTTGGGAGGACTGTGAGTCAAAGACAGCCTCAGCAATTTAGGGAGTCCCTAAGAAACTCAGGAAGACCCTGTCTCTAAATAAAATACAAAAAAAAAAAAAGGGATGGGGATGTGGTTCAGTGGTTAAGTGCCCTTGAGTTCAATCCCTGGTACCAAAAAAAAAAAAAAAAAAAAAAAAAAAAATCATACATAGAATGGGGCATAGTGATGCCCAGTAACTCAGAAGGCTGAGAAAGGATGATCACAAGTTTGAGACCAACCTTGGCAATTTAGTAGTGAGACCTGTCTCAATGCAAAAAAAAAAAAAAAAAAAAGAGAGAGAGGGGGTCTGTGGATGTAGGTCAGTGGTAGAGTGCTTCTGGGTTCAGTTCCACTACCGTCCCCTCCCCCTACAAAATCATACATATACACTTTGCTTTTGAGAATTAGCTTGTTGCCATATGGACTTGATCATCTTGACCTTTTTATTTCTGAGTGTAGGTCTATAGTGAAGTCAATGCTTGGTTTTTCAGTGAGTTATAATGGGCTGAGGGAATGACAGGACCCAAAGAAGCTAAGCATGAATCATTTTATAAACTTTTAGTAACTCCATTATAACAGTATACTCTTACTCACTCTGATTAACATCCTTAGTTTTACTTTAGAAACCTGAAGAAATTTGTCAGCTCATACATTACAGTATGTACCTTCATGTCTGGCTTAATATGGAATTTTCAGTAGTCATATTAGTTGTAGAATTTACAACTATGATTGAATCAGTTCTTTGATTAAAGAGTTTGCTTTGATTGTTAAATTATGACTGATAACAAATCAAGGCTTAGGAAAAAATGTAATACATTAGTATACTTGAATTTTGGTGATGTAAAATGATTTTTGAAGAGCTATGTGTTATTCAAATAAATTCACTTTAAATGCATCTTCTATTGGCACAGTGGACTTCTATATGAAGCAAGACTGATTTTATTTTCTTTTAGACGTTAGGAAGTTTATTCCCAAAGATATTTTCTAATGTTTGTTTCTGTCTACATCTTCTTTTAAAAAATCTCTCTACAGATAAAATAATTGTGGGTAGCTTTATGGGATACCTAAGAATCTTTAACCCTCATCCTGTAAAAACAGGAGATGGAGCTCAAGCTGAAGATTTGCTCCTGGAAGTCGATCTACGAGATCCCATACTTCAAGTGGAAGTAGGAAAGTTTGTTTCGTAAGTACAGCCCACTAATTTTGGTATTTTTGTCTTACTTGGAGAGCATTTCAGTTCTTTACTATGAATCTTTTGTGAATTCTTCAAAGGAGACTATATATGTATCCTTGACATTGTCATGTAGGTGTTTTTCATTTTCTGAATTTTTTTTTTTTATAAAAACCTTTAAGATAGAATAATTTTGGATCTTTTTATAGGAACAAATCTAAGGTACCTGGCCCATCAATGACTTAAAGGAAATGAGACGAGCTTTAAAAAAAATGACCAAATAAAGATATACTAAATTATCACTGCATGCCTGTAATCCCAGCCGTTTGGGAAGCTGAGACAAGAGCATCACAAGTTCAAAGCCAGTCTTAGCAACTTAGTGAAGCTCTGAGTAACTTAGTGAGACCTTGTTTCAAAATGATAAATTAAATAAGGGGTGAGATGTGGTTCAGTGGTTAAATGCCATTGAGTTCAATTCCTGGTACAAAAAAAAATTACATATGTGTGTGTGTGTGTGTGTATAAAATCACTATATTATTCAGGTTGGCCTTGAACTTACAATCTTCATCCTCCTGAGTTGCTGGTATGACCACTGTGCCTGTGGTCACTGGACCACCAGTCGTTTTTATTTATTTTAAAGCAGCCTCTGTAAGGGGTTGAGCTGACCTCAAATTGTGATTATCACCTTCAGCGTCTTAAGTAATTAGAATTACAGATATGTACCACCACTCCCAGTGGAATTCTTGCCTTTAAAAGCATTTTGACCTTTCCACTGGAAAAAAATAGGAAACATGATCAACATTCATTCTGTATTATAGTGCTATGTACAATTCTCATTTTTGTGATCATTTGGAAGGGGAAGAGGTTGACAGTAATGAGTGGATACTGATCTAGGTCTTTATAAACATTGTCTCAAGAATCTTATTTTTCAAGGCAGATAAAATCTGTATCAGGATAAGGAAACTTGAGCTTATAGTGTAAGATTACACAATCAAAACTTGATTTTGATTCCATATTCACTATCTTTCCAATTATTATACTCTTTTCTGGAATGTGAATACATAAAGAAATTTCTGAAGGCACTATCAATTATATTATAGCTGTGTCTCTTTGCATTTGTAGAATGAATAATAAGTATTTACATATCAATCGTACCAGTGCTTTGCAGATATTATCTTCTACAATTATTATTTTGTAAGTAAAATAGTGACACTCTGAACAATTAAATGATCACAGGTAAAGTAAGGTACAGAGTCTGAGTCCCAACCCAGGTGTTCAGAGTTCAATTACAGTCCTGTAGTTTTGAATAGTTAGTTTATAACAGAGATTGGACTAGAGACCTGCTTGCACATGTGGGCCTCTAGTTTTTAACTGTAAAAGAGCTGCCAACATTTAAGAACTAGGAGATTTCACATAAAACCCCTGCTTTCTGGTGTTTCATGAAAAATGTGGAGATCTGGCCACAAGCCCAGAACCAAATAGTAGCCACCTCCTCTAGCCTGGCCCCAGTCTCCAGTTAATCACAGTCATTTACACCTTTTCCTCATTAACATCCATTAGCTTGACCCTTGAAGACTCTGAGTTTGGGAGCTCTAGACTGTGCCATGCTGCTGTCTCTGGCAACCAACTTGACATGGACTAGGAAATGTAGTGGGGATATTGGCATTTTATTTTATTTGAGAGTCCAAAAAAATGTTTTCAATACTTTTAATAAATTTCAGATCTGGAAGTGATATGTGCCACTTACTAATAATGATTAGAATTTTGTGGTGCTTTAAGCTTTACAAGGTTCTTTCACATGACTTTATTTGATTTATTTGAAACCTCTTATTCTACAGAAGGGAAACAGGTTCAGAGAGATTAAGTGATTTGCCCAAAGTTATAGATGAATTAGTCAGAGAGCCAGAACCAGAAGTTGGAGCTTTTTACTGTGGAGAGTACTCATGACGAAGCCTCAGTTCTGACTCTTCTTGGGTCCTTAGTTGATTTCAATCTGGAAGGCAGGTCCTTGCAGCAGAGTATCTCTCCTCCTTCCCTTCCTTCCTTTCTTACTACCCTCTTCCGTCCTTCCCTTTCTACCTCTCTTTAGAAGGTCTTGCTGTGTTGCTTATGCTGGCCTTGAATTTGCAGTTCTCCTGCTTTAGTTTCTGGAGCAACTCAAATTACAGCTGATGCCTCTGTTCCTGACAAGACAGAGTATTTGAGGATGTTGAATTGTCAGTTGTCCTATTTGTTGTGACATTTATTTTTCAGTTCAGAATGTTTTCTAATGAATTGTTTACTCATAGTAGGTATAGTTAGATCTTTTTGTAATCATTTAATAACTTTTTGGTTATATTGAACATTAATATCTAAAAGCATTTAAAACATTTCCTATTTTTCAGAGGTACTGAAATGCTTCATTTGGCTGTGTTGCATTCTAGAAAACTTTGTGTCTACTCTATCTCAGGTAAGAAACATTTATTTTCAATGTGGAATTTATATTACAAACTGGATTCCTTACTATAAAAACTGGGTTCTTTACTATAATAATAGATATTTTCTTTCTTTTTTTAATTTTATTTTATTTATTTTTTTTGTACTAGGGATGGAACCCAGGAGCACTTAACCACTGAGCCACATCCCCAGTCTTCTTTGTATTTTATTTTGAGACAAGGACTTGCTAAGTTGCTTAGGGTCTCACTAAGTTGCTGAGGCTGGTGTTGAACTTCTGATTCTCCTGCCTCAGTCTTCCTAAGCTGGTAGGATTACTGGCATGTGCCACTGTACATGGCTAAGAATAGATATTCTCTAGTGCTGATTTGGGGGAGAACACAAAACATTCATTTGAAGTTTTTTTTTTCTTTTTTTTTGTCTTAGCATTTTTCTATTGTTCATTACTTTTTCAGAGACTTAAAAGTATTACATTTTCTTGGTCTGTTATTTCTATGCATATTGATATTTCTAGCAGAAGGTTTCTTGTGATCTCCTTCCTCTCAGGAATTATGTTCAGGATTGCCTATGACTGATCTAGGCTACTTCTGGATACTTGGGACTCTTGAGTCCCCACCCCCCCATCACTAGTAATTGAACTCAGGGGCACTCAACCACTGAGCCACATCCTCAGCCCTATTTTGTATTTTATTTAGAGACAGGGTCTAACTGAGTTGCTAAGTGCCTCACCATTGCTGAGGCTGGCTTTGAACTTGCCATCCTCCTGTCTCAATCTTCCAAGCCGCTGGGATTACAGGTGTGCACTGGAGGGACTCTTAAGTGTTCAACAGTACCAGCAAAATTCATAGATGCTGAGTCATAGTGGTTTGAAATACATTTTCTTTGGTAAACCTCAAGTATTTTTTCTTTATAGTTCAGATTTCTTGGCTTTGGTTGTCTTCACTTCATTTGACCTCAGGGCACATATTTTGAGGCTTAATCAGATTTCATTCTATGACATGGTTCTGTGGGCAGAAGTATAGTAGTTCATTGTGCTTCTGATTAAAATTAAAAGATAACTTCAATTTCAGTTCTTAGGTAAATTTTACTTCAACTTCAGAGTTATTTTTGCGTATATTGATTTGGAGAATTTCTTATATGGCTCTGATAAAGCTAAGTGTCTGTAGGGCTGTTCTGTACAAAAGTGATACTCTGTAGAGAGTTTGCTCTAAAGACTAGTTTCTAGAGTTTGAATTTCTCAGATTCATTCTCTCTCTTTGGGTTTTCTTTATACTTTGCCTTTAATTTGACTAATAATTTTTACTTTACTGACACTTAGGTAGTCTCTTTTTGGGGTGAAGATCTATTAACTTTCTAAGGCAGGCTTGGTAACCAGGGATATGGTATTTGGTAGATATCCAGGAACTTCTTTGAAAAATGAGTGTATGAATTTGTGGGTGATGCTGAAGCAATTGACAGTGGCTTTTTATTATTCTTTATCATGTGATGTTTTCCTTTTATTTCTCTGTTATCTCTGTCAGTTTCTTTTCCTTTCTGTTTATATCAGAGGCCTGATGGAGTATACTTTCATTGGTTTCAGGTAAAAGATGCTGCTCCTCCTAGTGATAGGATATATATTTAGTATTAGGATATATATTTAGTATTAGAGTAAGTAGAGAAGTTATGATATAGGTTACTATATTGCATGGATCTAATCCTCTTTTTTTGATTGGAAGCATGTTAATTACTAGTGATATTTTACTGACTCCATTAACACAGGCAATGGAGGAAGAGAACTTACCCACAGTTAATATTTAGTCCCTTCTAGAGGGCCCATTGGGCTCTAAGCAGGGCCTCTTAGAAACTAAAAATTAGATTAGATTCTTAGCTTTCCTTGGTCGCATTTGAGATAGGCTCAGAAAGACAGAAACCTCTAAAGTGCTTCTGGGCTTAAAGCATAGGCTGGGGATAAAATGTTTTTCTAAAAAGCCTGCTGGCATGTTTGGTCACAGTTTGTTTATGGGACTGTGGTATCTATCCTCCAAATTAGTGTTGAAAATGAAAGTTATTTGCCACAGGAATGGTGATTTTTATTGCTCTTTTATTCTTTGTTTTCATTTAAAAGCTTTATGTTCTCTAGAGACCAAGATTTGTCCAAACTACATTCCCTTATGCCCCACCTCACTTCCCTTCTGTCTCTGATTTCTTCATTCTCTTATGATATTTGTAAACTGACAATTTCTCTATTTTTCCTGGCATGGCTTAAATTAAGAGGCATGGGAAATCAATATTTTTGTTCTTTTGAATGTTTCTTGAGGTTCCAGATTGAACTTTTACCTAGCTTTTACTGTAACATGGGAAGCACAAATGTTTCTAGTTTAAATAAAATGACTGGTGTTGGGAAATGAAAATATTAGCTGAACTTGACATCCTGTCCCCTGACTGCCTCCTCCCGAAATATTTTCTTTTATTGTCTGTGTGCTTCTGAAAAGGATTTGAGGCAAACTGAAGATCTTCAAAGTAAAGTCTCTTGGACATACCAAATACCCACTGCCAGACAATTTTTTCCCCTGGTACTGGGATTGAACCCAGGAGTGCGCTACCACTGACCTACTCTCCCAGACTTTTTTAAAAAAGTTTTTAAAATTTTTTAGTTGTAGTTGGATACAGTACCTTTACTTGATTGTATGTGGTGCTGAGGATCGAACCCAGGGCCTCACGCTTGCTAGGCGAGCGCGCTACCACTGAGCCACAGTGCCAGCCCTTTCCCAGACCTTTTTATTTTTCATTTTGAGATAGGATCTCACTAAGTTGCTGAGCATAGCCTCAAACTTGAGATCCCCCTGCTTCAGCTTCCCAAGTTTCTGGGATTATAGGCATGCATCAGTGTGTCCAACCACCCCAGCCCTTTTAATTTTTTGAGACAGGGTCTCACTAAATTGTCAAGGTTGGCCTTGAATTTGTGATTTTCATACCTCAGCCACCTCAGTCACTGAAATTGCAGGCATGCGCTACCACCACAGGCCCAAACAGCCCTTAAAAGTCAGAGACTACTGTGCTAACCTTTTTTTGGTTAGTGATGTGTCATTAAATGTGTGCTTAATTGAAATAATAGGATCTTGCTGACCTGAAGGTAGCCCATTTTACCATACTGTAGTAAGAGAAAGCATCATGTGGCATCTGATTCTTTCCCTCCTTCCTTTCTTTCACTGGGGATTGAACTCAGGAGTGCTTTCCACTGAGCTACATCTCCAGTCCTTTTTATTTTTTAATTTTGAGGCAGGGTCTCACTAAATTCATGAGACCTTGAACTTGAGATACTTCTGCCTCAGCCTTCTAAGTCCCTGGAATTACTGTGGTATGCCACTGTGCCTAGCCTCAGGTTCCTTTTGATGGGCTTCAGTTTCTGAGTAAATGCTTACAGATGTGTGAGCGATATTGAGTTTGTACTTGTAGTCTTTTCCAATTGTATGCAAATGTGTACTACATAACATAAGTGTAGTACATAAATTCATAACTAGTCAGTACAAATCTGACTACTTACAGATTAAATTTTTTTTCTTGTAGTTGTAGATGGACAGAATGCTTTTATTTTATTTGTTTGTTTTTTTATGGGGTGCTGAGGATTGAACCCACTGCATCACACATGCTAGGCAAGCAAGTGCTCTGCCGCTGAGCTATAGCGCCAGCTCAACTTACAGAATTTTAATGGTTGCCATGAGAAGGATAAAAAAGATGTGGTTCGTTATGTTTGATGGACTTATATAATCTAATTAGTTCTTTAACTCAATTAACGTACTTGATCTGTAATTAACTCACTGAACATCTTTAGATTGTGGAGTAGTGATCTAAAATTACACTGAAAACTGTCACCAAGGAGATCTTTGATTCTTTCTTTGACTTTTGGTTTTCTGGAGTTTTTTTTTTTTTTTTTTTTATAAATCAAATTTTCTTGTGTGATAAGACCAGTAGAATAAATGTTCTAAATATGTGTTTACTTTCTTTTTAAATTTTTTTTACTTTAGTTATACATGACAGTAGAATGTATTTTGGCAAAATATATGTAAAGTATAAGTTATTAGGTTCCCATTCTTATGTTTGTAGTTACTTTCTAACTGAAATTTTTTTTATTAACTTCAGCTTCATGTAGACAAATCATATACTTACTATATTCAGTCTACATATCTAAGGACAAAACCTGTATAATTTTTTATCTTTGTGGAAATGTAATTTTTTTTTTTTTAAGATGGACACAATACCTTTATTTAGATTTTTTTTTTAATGTGGTGCGGGGGATTGAACCCAGTGTCTCACACATGCTAGGCAAGTGCTCTACCACTGAGTCACAACCCCAGCCTACTAATTTTTAATTTGGTATCATTGATGCTTTTATAGGAAAAATACAAATCCTATTATTATTTTATGCCAAATGTGTTTAAATATTAACTGCTGAATCCAGTATTCACTGGTGTGAATTTTTTTTTTTTTTTTAGATGAACATATACCTTTATTTTATTTATTTTTATGTGGTGCTGAGGATCAAACCCAGTGCCTCATCCGTGCTGGGCAAGCTCTCTACTACTGAACCACAACCCCAGTCCCCTGGTGTGAATTCTTTTTTTTTTTCTTTTTAAACATTTATGTTTTAGTTATAGGTGGACATAATATCTTCATTTTCTTTTTATGTGGCGCTAAGGATTGAACCCAGTGCCTCAGGCATACTAGGCAAGTGTTCTACCTCTGAACCACAACCCCAGCCCCCTGGTGTGAATTATTATTATTATTATTTTTTACATATTTTTTAGTTGTAAATGGATCTTTTATTTAATTTATTTATTTATATGCAGTGCTGAGGATTGAACCCAGGGCCTCACACATGCCAGGAAAGTGCTCAGTCTACCACTGAGCCACGACTCCAGCTCCTTAATGTTACTTTTTTTCTCTCATTTCCTTTTCTTTTTCATTTTCTTTTTTTTTTTTTTTTAAAGAGATAAGGTCTCACACATTTTCCAGACTGGCCTGGAGCTCCTGGGCTCCAGCAATCCTTCTGCCTCTGCCTACTTAGTATTGGGACTACAGGTGCAGGCCACTGCACTTAGCTTGCAGTGGCATATTCTTGCTACTTTAATTTGGGAAATTGTTATTGACCATATCTGTGGACATTATGATCTTTACTGAGGGGAGGACCAAATTCCCTACATGTTTTTATGTGATGGATAACCAGGCATGAGGCTATATCATGCCTGACTCTGAAGACCTGGTTTGAGCAAATATCTTTTACCAGTTATGTGATTTTGGGGAAATTTCTTAAATTTTTTTTTGAATTTAAGGTTGCCTTTATTTTAAAATGGAAAAAAATATTCTTATACTCTAAATGCACGTTGGTAAGTCATTTGGGACAAAAAACCCCAAACAAACAGATGCACATATTTATATATTTAGATTGTTTTAATGATCAAATACTACCCAGTTTGGGGACTCTTGTTTGTTTTCTGGTAGTTTAAAATTTTCTTTAATTTTTGCATTTTGAATGAATAAATGACAAAGATGTTTCTTCATTTTTTTTTTTTTTTTGAACTGCGGATTGAATTCAGAGGCACTTTACTACTGAGCTATATCCCAGCCCTTCTTAAATTTTATTTCGAGACAGGGTCTGATTGCCCAAGTTGGTCTTGCACTTGAATCCTCCCACCTTGGCCTCCCAAATTGCTGGGATTATAGTCAGGTACCACTGTGCCAGGCTCAGAGATGCTTCCTTATGGAGAAAGTTGTTTTTTGAATCTTTTTTCTTTATTCCTAATGCTGTACCTGATTGCTGGTCTGTAGCTCTAACTGTAAGGCTACCATCAGAGAAAAAATATGGGTAAAGAATCTTTTCTTGGGCTGGATGTGGTGGCACATGCCTGTAATCACAGTGGCTCGAAGGCTGAGACAGGAGGATCACGAGTTCAAAGCCAGCCTCAGCAAAAGAGAGGTGCTAAGCAACTCAATGAGACCCTGTCTCCAAAAAAATTGGCTAGGGATGTAGCTCAGTGGTTGAGTACCCAGTAACCCCCAACCCCAGTTCAATCCCTAGTAATCCCCCTGCCCCCCCCAAAAAAAAGGATCTTTTTTTTTTGTACTGGGGATTGAACCAGGGGTGCTTAACCACTGAGCCCTTTTTATTTATTTATTTGTGGTGCTGGGGATCGAACCCAGGGCCTTGAGCACATGAGACAAGTACTCTACCAACTGAGCTATATCCCTAGCCCCCTTTTTATGGTTTATTTTGAGATTGGATCTTGCTAAGTGGCTTAGGGCCTCACTAAATTCTTGAGGCTGGCCCTGTGTTGGATAAAGAATTTTTTCTTGACTGGCATGGTGGTGCAATCTTGTAATTCCAGCAACTCCAGAGCCTGAGGCAGGGGGATTACCGCTTCAGCAATTTAGTGAGCCCTAAGCTATTTTAGCAAGACCCTGTATCAAAATAAAAAAATAAAAAGGACTGAGATGTGCTCAGTGGTTAAGCACCTCTGAGTTCAATCCCCCCCAAAAAAAACACAAAACCCAATCACAAACAAAACCTTTTCTCTTATGAAAAGAACTAGAGGATAATTGTAGTTCATATGATCTATTAAATGCAGAGAAAGTGTTTTTTCTTTGTTTTGAAGGAGGTGATTTTGGCAAAGTTAAATTAAAACACATTACTTGCTGAGGGAAACTTAGAGAATCTCTCCATAATCATAGTATATAATGCATTAGGGGATTGAGTATTTTGAGAGCTGAAATGGGAAAATGCATTTCTGTAAAGTGTTGGAGATTTTTTTTCTTAGATACTTCAAGTCATTTTGTTTGCTCTGTTATTATTTATAAATGCAAGGAACTTAACCTCATTTATTTGAGAACTGAAATTAGAGTATTTTGTTGTTATTTAAATAATTACACTTCACTCAGGCAAGTCTAATAGAAATAGATAATAAAATGTTCCCCAGGTAGTATTTCATCTTATGGTGTAAAATCTAGCTGAGATTTAACTGGTTTTAACTGTGCTATGTTATCATTATGCTAATTGTTCATAATGTCTTAGTGCTTTGTCATTTCAATTTTCACTAACATTAAATCACTTGGTATAGAGCATGAGAAGAAATTAATGAGTTTTCACATAAACAAATATAAAGTAATCTTTTAATTATTTTCTCCTTAGGAACATTGGGTAATGTGGAACATGGGAACCAATATCAGCTTAAATTAATGTATGAACATAATCTTCAAAGAACAGCCTGCAATATGACTTATGGATCATTTGGTGGGGTAAAAGGTAATTTGTTTTAAATCATCAGTATGTTATTTTAAATGATAGATTTAGAATATTTGGTCATATTAAAATGGAGGATTTTGTAGTTTGAATCTTAGAGCAAGTTAAAATAAGATATTTTATTGAAAAGTTTGTATCCAAATATTCAAAACAATAAAAAAGGAAACTTTAAACAACAGATGTGTTTGATTTTCATATAACCAACAGCCTTTGTACATGGTCTACGGAGACATTTCTAAATACCTATAAGCTGACTGAAATTGAGTGTTTTTTTTTTTTTTTTTTTTTTTTTTTTGTGTGTGTGTGTGCTAGAACTGTGTGCCTGCCTATTTGAGGGAGATTAAGGGCTGACCTTCTTACTGACAGGCAGTACTTGCTGTATCTGCTACAGACATGGTGAAGCTGCAAACCCTTCTCTTCATCCTACTCATCTCCAGAGCTGCTGCATGGAGTTCTTATGGGTTGTTTTTATGCAAGAGCAACCGTAAGAGTGGACAAGTGAGGGCTGAGATATAGGCTTGATTCTGCTTATCAAATCACACTTTCTGGCTTGAAGTAAGTCTACCCTAGAGTAAGGGGTGCCTTTTTAAATTTCACAAAGGCATCACTTTTCCCAAGTACAGTTGTCCTTTGGTATCCTTGGGCCTTGGGAGATTGAGTCTAGGACTCCCCTTACCTGTAGATATCATAATCCCTTATGTAAAATCCCTTAGGTAAGCCAGGTATAGTGGTGTACCCCTGTAATCCCAGCAACTCAGGAGGCTGAGGCAGGAGGATTGCAAGTTTGTGGCCAGTCTCAGTAACTTAATGAAATAAAAAATAAAAAGGGCTGAGGATGTAGCTCAGTGGTTAAGCGCTCCTGGGTTAAATCCACAGTACAAAAAAACAAAAACAAAAACAAAAAATGGTGGTGGGGGGATAGTGTTTGCATATAACCTACACATATCCTTAGTATACTTTAAAATATTTTAGATTACTTATAATACCTAGTACAATGTAAGTACTATGTAAATAGTTGTTAGATTGTATTGTTTAGGGAATAATGACCAGAATAAAAAAGTCTGTACATATTTAATTCAGAGCATCTTTTTTTTTCTGTGTTGGGGATAGAACCCAGTGTTTCCTGCATGCCAGACAAATGCTCTACCACTAAATCACATCCCAGCCTTCTTGGATATTTTTTTTAATATTTATTTTTTAGTTGTAGTTGGACACAATACATTTATTTATTTTTATGTGGTATTGAGGATTGAACCCAGGGCCTCACATGTGCTAGATGAGCGCTCTCCACTGAGCCATAACCCCAGGCCCATTCCTTCCTGAATATTTTTGATGCCAGGTTGGTTGAATACACTGATGCAGAATGCTATAATAGGAAGGCTGACTGTACTGGCTGGTAAGGATGTGTTCTTCCAACCTTGGCATTTTTGTTTCTAATTAGCAAAAATGCTCCCTTCAGTATGTGTACTAGACCTAGAACTTCTGGAATCTCCAGGGCATGGTGCTTGTGTACACTACTGCTATTTGTGTGTTGGGAGTTCTTATAGATGGCCAGAGTTTTCTCACTGTGCTGTAACACGGAAGAAGAGCTGGTGGTGCTGGGTTGAGAACAGAAGTCATGTGGTGACACTTACCCATGTTATTTTGTGACTGTGGTTGAGTATGAATTTATATATGTACTTGTGCCACCTTTTGAACATGATTAGGAATTTTATAATATTTTTGCTCTTTTTGAGTTTATGTTTTTGTGAGTTTATTTTTTAACTGTTACATTACAGTGGTTAGTTATATTACATTTTTCTTTAATTACACAAGAAATGACTATTTTTGAAATATCTTTCATCTGTGTGAACTCCATTTTATTCATACATAGAGGTGAAAGCAGGGAGGGCATAGATGAATTTGGGCATACCAATTACCAAGCATAGACTTTTGTTTTGCAGTACTGAGGATTGATCCCAGGGGTGTTTTACCACTGAGTAACATCCCTAGTCCTTTTTATTTCTTGTTTTGAAACAAGGTCTCACTATGTTGCCCAGACTAGCTTCTAACTTTAGATCCTCCTGCCTCAGCCTCCTGAGTTGCTAGGATTATGGGAATGTGCCTCCATACCTGCACAATCATAGATACTTTTGGTAGTGATGTGCAGCTAAAAGTTTGCTGTCACCTAAAGTGATGTGAAACAACAGTTGGTTAGATTGCATAATTACTTAACTCGAGTAATGGGAATGTTTGCATTATTTGAGGAGTGTGGGAAATGTTTAGAGTTAATGAAGAGAAAAGAGAAAGAGATTTATGTGAGAAGCAAATTTTAGTCAGTACCTCCTTCCACTCTCAGCTTTTAGAATTGATTTTCACTGTTTTTTTTTTTTTTTTTTAAAGTCTGACACCATTGGGGGATTTAGGTCTCCCTTTGCTATTTTCAACTTATTTTTCCCTGTCAAATCCCCAGAAGCAAATTGCTAAATTCTGTATTCCATCTGGATTCCAAAAAATTGTAATTAGAGAAAAAAAAGTGCTTTGGCTAATTAAAAGTAGTTTTTTAAAAATTATATCACAACATTTTTTTTTTTGAGTACTGGGAATTGAACCCAGGAATTCTTTATCACTGAGCTACAGTATCTCCCAAGCACTTTTAATTTTTATTTTGAAGCAGGGTCTCCCTAAGTTACTAAGTTACCTAAGTTAAGGCCTCACTAAACTGATGAGTTTGTCCTCAAACTTGTGATCCTTCTGCCTTAGATTCCTGAGTTGCTGGGATTACAGGTTGGAGCCACCACAGCAGACTCATGACAATTCTTTAGATCACATAGCAAATGTTATTTTATATAGATTATATTGTATTTTTTTATTTCTTTATCAGATCACATTAACCCAATTAAAGAATTTTCTTGCTTTTGTGTAACATTTTTTGCTGGACTGTATAATGGACCTCCAAAGTAATGTGATAGAGTTCAGGACATGCTGTCTTAAAATATGGGATCATGGGGCTGGGGGTATGGCTCTGTTATAGAGCACATGCTTACCATGTATGAGGCCTTGGGTTTAATTCCCAGCACCAAATAAGAAGGAAAAAAAAATAAGAAAGACAATTTGAAGAACACCATAGTAGCAGGGAGATTACTTTGACCTTCCCTCTACCCTTCTGCCCTGAAGCAGATCATTAGACTTATAGGAGAGGTGTGCTTCCTATACCCAAAGGGGAGAAGTATCCTTGTCTCTGAAGATGAAAGGTCACAGAGAAGAACCTGAATAATCAGGCTTTGCCGAGTACCTTGTTCATTACCATTAGATCATACCCCCTTGGCTCTATCATATTTTTCCAATTTCTTTTTTTCCTAGTGATCAATGTTTTTCTTTCTTTCTTTCTTTCTTTATTTTACAGTAGAATGCATTTTGACATACTTTGTACAAATGGAGCACAACTTCTCATTCCTCTGGCTGTACATGGTGTAGAGTAACTCCAATAGTATAATCATACGTGTATATATGATAATAACGTTTCTCATTCTACCAACTATCCATTTCTTTCTTTTCTTTTTTTTTGGTGGTGCTGGGGATTGAACTCAGGGCTTTTGGGAATGATGAAAATGTTCTAAAATTAGATTATAGAAGCCTGGTGTGGAGGCTCACATCTAAAATCGCAGTGACTTAAGAAGCTGAGACTGGAGGATTGTATGTTCAAGGCCAGCCTGGATACTTGTTGATCCTGTCTAAAAATTTAAAATAAGGGATTTAGGATGTAGCTGAGTAGTAGAGTGCCCCTGGGTTCGATCCCCAGTAACATACACACATCTACACACATACAAGCGTATTGCACATCTCTAAATACATTAAGAACTATCGAGTGGTTTACTTTATAAGAGTGAACTTTGAAGTATATGAGTGATATCTCAATAAAGTTGATAAAAAATTATCCATAGGATAAAATCTAATGCTAGAGAGGTGAGTCATTCATTCTTCATGGTCATCTGTCTCTCTCTCTCTCTCTCTCTCTCTCTCTCTCTCTGTCTCTCTTTCTGTGCTGGGGATTAAACCCAGGGCCTTGTGCATGCAAGGCAAATACTCTACCAACTGAGTTATATCCCCAGCCCATGAAAATGTCCTTGATACTATAACATAAGTCATAGAAATATGGATGGGAATGTATATTAGAAAATGATCCAAAATATGGTAGTATAAAGTTGCCATTTATTTATTTTTGTCTTCTTCCTGCCTTTCCTTCCTTCCTTTTGTATATAAATAGATGTACTTTTTTTTATAGTAAGAAGAAATTATAGGTGATCTGAGAATGCTACATAAGTTTTGATGAGCTGATTCAGTAGATTATTATAAACCTATTGTTTCATTTGTTGAAATGAAATCTTTCTTCATTAACCTTTGCCTACATTTCTGATTATTTCCTTAGGGTAAAATGTAGAGGTTATTAGGTCAGATAATTATAAAATGACTTTTTTCTTCATAATAAGTAGCCTTTAATGGGCATATATGAATATACAACAGTGAATTCCAACTTTATGAATTACTATAAAGCACCAATTAAAAAAATAAAAGGAAGATCAGTAGAGTAGAAGGGGAGTAAGGGGAGGGACGAGGGGAGGGAAAGAGGAAGCACTGGGAACTGAAATGGAGCAAATTATATTCCTGCAGGTAGATTATGACCAAATGAACACCACTATTCTGTATAACTATAATGCACTAAGAAAAACATTTAAAAAAGAAAGCTTTTCCCTTGAATACTATACAAATAAATGGTACAAAGTATAGAACTTGGGGAGAAGAAAGCAAAAATCACCTCTAAGTTATGCACATTTCAAAAGTTTCATTTTCTAAACTTAATGTCTCACCTTTCCAGAAGAGAATGGGTCATTCTTTTAATTTGAAAAATTCCTAAGAGTTAATCTGGGTATAAAAAAGGGAAACTTAGGGCTTCAATAAAGGAATTAAATAAAAACAAAACTCAGCACTGCTCAGGAGTCTGAGGCAGGAGGGTTGCAAGTTTG